GGTCCTTACCAGGTTTCATGTATCACCAGTAAAGGGTCATATGAGTTGGAAAATCAAGATGGAGTCAAATTACCCAGCAATTGGAACGTGACTTACCTTAAAAGGTATTATGGCTGATGGATCACGCCAATACTGAAAGTATGTGCTGCACTCTTTATTCCTTCGACCAGTTTTTGTCCCAATCGAGTTTTTCTGGCAAGGTTTTAATGAGGCAGAAACAAAAAGCATACTACGAATGGAGCGTCATCGGAAAAGGAAAGACCTTTAAATATCATGGCACTAAAACTTTCACATCAATGGTAAACAACTATGTGGATGGTTAAATAATCTTTGACTCGATGGCAAGTCTTGTCTTCTATTATAAAAAAGGATTATTTAATCGTTCATAAGTTGTTTCCACATGTGAAGCAGCAATCTGGATGCAATACTTCCAGTGCTCGAATTTGCATGCTTCGCATTCGAACACTGGGGGGAGATAATATCTTATACAGCAGCAAAAATACCACAAAATCGGGTCTACGAGTATCGGGATCAATATTTTATCAAGACCAAGACTGCGAGAATCGGGATCAATATTTCATCAGGACCGGAGACTGCATGATCAACCCCATAGAAATAAGTTGTACAACTTAGCCACATGTATTGGCAGCTTTATTTACTTAGGCAAACAAATGCCTATGTACTTTTAAGAATAGAGGGAATAAAATAAAGTCCTTTTATTTTTATGTTATTTCTTGTCTGAACGATGAGTTAATTTTATTGTTTAAATTTTAACAAAAAATTCAAATGCTTATGCCAGAATGAACAGGAGATGTCCTCTTCAAGAGCAGCATAAACATAAAAGCCCTCTCTTATGAAATTGTCATAGTAAAGGATAGATTTCGGAAGAATTTATGCCTGGGATCAAAAGCTATCGGATGAAAAAATATACCTGAAGCTTTAATCGAATGAACATAAAAGGGATTTTTTGCATAACACTTAAGAAAAACACTCTTTTATTATCAGGTACTGAATTTGATTAAAGTTAGGCATAACTACAAAATATTAAAAAATTATTATTAGTATTCATCATTGCAGCCAAAACCCGAAGCAAAAGAAGGATCTAGGTTTCCTCCGGTACAGTATGGCGGATTCACTATCGGCTCATGGACTTCATCTTCTTTAGTCTTACCTTCGGTTTCTGAATACTCAAAACCAGTACTCGAGGAGTTAGTCGCAACGAGCCAAGTAAGAAGGTTTTCACGAGCGGATAACTCCAATTCTCGGGCCTTGGCAATGCATTCGTCTAAGTTGGCAATGCCCACTTTGACCTTCTCCAAGGTCTTCCTCTTCATACGATACATGGCATAGATCTTCTCGAATATGAGGGAATCTTCTTGATCATGGAGTTTTTCCTGGAGTTTGTCGATTTCATCCTAGGGCCCTTCTCTTTCAGACTTCATGGCGCTAAGGCGGTAATCGAGCTCAACATTAGTAGTTGAGTGAATCCTGTTTTGCTCCATGACCCTGTTAAGCCTCTCTTCCATTCAGGCCCTCTTCTCCTCGTCAGCATTGGCCTCCTCGGTTTTGGAGCATAATTTGGCTTTCAAGTTATTGATTTTCTCCTCGAAGGCAGACTCACGCTTGGCAGCGGCGATAGTAGCTTCGTGAAGTTCAGCCCACTTAGCCTTAGCTTCTTGAAGCTTTTCATGTAATTGGGCAGCTTCTTGGATGTGGGTCATTCAATCCTATTTGCTCTTCTGCATCCGAGTCTCAAGCTCGTCCATTTCTATAGCTTTTGCCTCCATCACTAGGAGGCCCGCAGAGAGCTAGTCCTTCTCAACCAAAAGTTGATCCCTCTTGGAAGAAAGCCCTTGTTTATCAATGATAAACCTTTGTAGGACCTAAAAAACAATGTGGTTAGCCTAAAAAAGAAGAGATTAAAATTAAGGCTACCATTGCAGCGTATACATTTCAAAAGAGAAAGAGATAGAGATACCTGTGCCACACTATGCATGCCATTGTTTATCAAGCACTCCCCAGAAAGGGAGCCCATTTTATTCAAATCTTTCTCCGAAGCCAGCGGCTTCAGATAATTTGCAAGCTCCACCGACTTGGCTAAAATATGATACTCTTTCGAAATCGAAAGAGTGGAACTTCTCCTCCCTCGAGGATCTTGGTAAGAAGTTGAGTAACAATTCCCAAGTTTCTATGGTCAGGAGACCGAGGGTGAGAAACATCCCTTTATCGCTCATTTGTTGTTGGTGGAGGAGATGCAGTTGGTGTTGGTGGCGAAGGAGCATCTAGCGTCGAGGGGCGGGAAGGATTTGGTTTATAAGGATAAGAAGCAACTGCGGCAGGAGGAGTGCTCGCTATTATTTGCTTAGTGGTTGGGGGTAGAAGAGGCCCAAGGTCCGAACTCCTAGGATCGGAGATAGCAATGGGGGCCGAAAAGAAAGAATCAGTATTCTCGGCCAAGTCCATCTCACTGCAAAGCTCCTGAGTTTCCACTAGTGTTGGGTTTTGAAGCTCCCCCGATTGAGCATCCGGTTGAGCTGATGTAGATCTCCTTAGAAGAGAAGCATCTTCATCACTAGCTTCTACCTCATCAACGAGCACCACTGTGGCCGACTCGGATGGTGTTTTCTTTGATCTCTTCTCCTGAGTCCCAGCCGAGAAGGAGCATCTCCTTTTCGGTGTCTTGTTCCCGAACTCAGGACTCCGAGAGGAGGCACCTTCACCAATGGAGTTAGCAACTTATCCATGAGATTTATTGCGTTCGAACAAAAATGAAGGAAAAGAAGGACGTGGCTTACCATGGTGCTTGGCCTTCCACCCGTATTTGGGGGCCATCTCCTTCCACCGTCGGGATTCTGGAGTTGTAATGTCCATAATTTTTTGGACCTAATGGTCCAGGCCAGGAACTCATGGCGATTCCTATCGGATAGCTGAAACAAAGGAAATAGAAAATTAGCAAAAGTGGGAAATGACATTTTCACGGAGGAAGAAAGTGGAAAGCCAAAAACTTACGAAAGAAGTTCCACAACTCGAGAAAGGCTGGAGTTGTGACTGGGATTATGTCCCTCATAGCAATAATGGTGAACCGCTCCATCCATACACGGTCGTTGTTGTCGTACTCTAGTGAGGAGAGCATGGTGACCACCTTGCTAAAGTTTATTACTCCCCCATGGAAAATCGTGGGAGAGTAAAGGTTCAATATGTGTGCACAGTTGACGAAGGCAGGCCACCGTCCGCCATACCGATGGGCTTACTTGTGCTAAGAACACCTGATATCGGTGGCAAAATTCCAAAATTATTGGGTCGAGCCCTTCACTCGACCCCGGGAAAAATGGACCCAAAGTGAAGGAATAAGGCTGATAAACTGATTGAAGGTAGACCAAGAGCATTACCTACGGGGATTTATTAGGATGGCTCAAAAAAGGGATACGTATAGAAATACATAAACACCCCTCCTTGGAGTAGGTGACTCGCTCTGCCATATCTAGGGCGAGGATTTGGATATTGGGGCAGTTGCAGTCTTCCTTCATAATTGGAATACCAGACAGGCGAATAGAGGAGTGAAACCTGCGAATTGGCCAAAACCGATGGCTTTGGGAAGTTGTAGAACGAGCTTTTTCGTGAAGGTCGTTTATAATGTTGAGTTGAAGGTGCATTATGATGCTAACAGTTGAAGGTTCAGACTCAACCCCAACCTCCTTGTCATTGTATTTATTTGGGCCTCCACCGAAGAAATGACCAGCAGTATTAGAGGAAGCAGTGTATGAATTTATGGTAGAAAGAGGTTGTAAAAGGAAAATTTCTTACTGAGAAAGTTGAAGGTTGTTAAAGGATTCTAAGTAGTGGAGAGAAGAAGAAAAACTTATGAAAATTATTGGAGTAAAGAAGTAAAAATGATGGGTAGTAGAGAAGTTATAGATGGAAAAAATCGTGGTCATGATTACCTCGAAAATCGGTAAATTTTCTGTTGTATCATGGGGAAACACGTATTCGGGCTATTAAATGCGAGAAAACGCGCGTCCTTTCAAATGTTATAGGCTGTGCAGGAACTTCCCCGCCAAGTAAGAAATCTTCACCTGCTTCCCAGTAACATTAAGCTACATCACCAGAAAGTAGGGAAACTATCTGTATGAGGTAAAATTGGTTGATAACATGTGGTCGAACGGTAAGATGACGTGTGGAGCCGAAGATAGACAAAGGACAAGTCGAGAAACAATTAGTACCGAATGCAGAGTGTGTGATCGGTACCGGAGGGATTTCAAAGGGAACATACTCGGCGGTAGAAGTTCAAAGACTTGCCATCAGGACAACATTAAATGAGAGAATATTTCCTGGCATTAAATGACAACTGTTACAGAGAATATTTGCATTCAAGGGCTGCCATTACATACTCATCAATGACCCTTTTATTACCATTTAAAGAGAGCTTGATCTTAGGATCTTGTTTCCTGTGTAGAACTATAAATAATAGGGCTAGCACCATGGTAAGGGAATGAAAAATATTCCACACGAAAAAGCTATGCTTTACTATTTTGCTCTCATACCTTACTATTCAAGCTTTAACTTTAACAGTTTATTCGTTTAATCTTTAACTTTACTTTTGCTTTTGCTCTCGGAAAGGTTTAGTTCAAAATCAGGCTTGTTATTTTCTTTAATTTCGTTTTGTTTTTGCTCTCGGAAAGGCTTAGTTCAAAATCAGGCTTGTTATCTTCTTTAATTTCAATCGCTAAATGTTAATTTTAGTCTTATTTCTTTATTGTTTTAGGATCAAATCGATTCGCTTTCTATAAACCACGTTACAAATTCAACTGTACCATTTTACGAGTAAACAGACAATATGAAATATCATCATAATTTTATAAGATTGGTAGTATGTCAAATTATCCGCGCATCGCCCCGGTTCTAACATAAGTTAATACTAGTATGAGCATTAATTGGTCCACTGCGTAGATGCAAAGTACTTAGAATATCTTGAACAAAGGTCAGATAAAACAATGGTGTAATGAAGGGGAAAAAAGAAGAAAAAATTGGGAATATCATAAATATCAAAGTTCAAGAGAAAAAGAAACACACCATTGGAGTAGAAAATCAAACAGCTAAAAGTTGCAGTGTGTTCACAACCTCAAACTCACAACTGAAAAACAACCGACATTACACAAGCAGAAAATTCGAGGAAAATGACGCCCCTATATAAAGAAAGGTACATATATTTAGAAAGTCTTCTTGAACATAACCCTTAAGGGAGTGTCACTGAGAGCCAAAAACCTGACTCCATCTTTAGTGTATATACCAACATCTTTGCAAATAACCTTGCAAATCTTGCACACACTTGGACAGAACACAAACTTATAATCCGTCCCAAGTTTCTCAATCTTGAACCAACTGCTCAATGTTTGAGGCCCTGGGTTTCCTTCAACTCCACCAGTCACTATAAAATATTGCTTCAACTTGTCATCATAGGTCCCAAGTTTCCAAATAGTTTCTCTTGCACAAATAGTTGGAGTAAAAAACCTGACATTAAGATCAATTGAAAGACGAACAACACCCTTCTTGGTATTAAAAGGTGTGAAAACCACAGGCAAACCTTCTTGGACCTCATCAGAATTTTGGATAATGTCCCTAGGACAAGTATTGTTTTGCTTAACGTTGGAAGGTAAGAGTCCGCCACCTCTTCCTCGGATCACTGGCAGCACGAAATAGTTGAGACCCACTTTTACTTTGTCGCCATTGATGTCAAGAACTGGAGATGGCGATGAACCTGCTAAGAATCTTGAGGGATTGGGTACACACAGGGCTATTGGGATAACTGAAAGTGAAAGTAGTAGCAAAAGGGTGTTCATTTTTCTTAATTTGTGGAAATTGAGATGTCTTACACTACTCTGTGCAGTTGATATGAGTGCAAGTGGCTGTCAATTTATAGAGGGATAAGGTGTGATTTTTGCACGTGGGTCATCTCAAATCTCCATACTCGTTTATGTTTATGAGGTCCTAGACGGTGACGGGTCTATAATTTCATACTCTATTCTTTTTAATTTAAGTGAATTTATTTAATTTAATAAATTTGTCATATTAAATATTTCATCCGTTCCAATTTACGTGAACCTGTTTGACTGGGCACGAAGTTTAAGGAAAAATGAAGATTTTTGGAATTTGTACTTCTACACAAGTCAAAAAGGGTCACAGAGTATTTATGTGGTTATAAAAGCTTCTTACTAAGGGTAGAATTGTAAGTTTAAGATAAATTGTTACCAAATTTAGAACGAGGTCATTCTTTTTTGAACTGACTAAAAAGGAAATAGATTCACATAAACTGGAACAGAAGAAGTATGTTATAATATTTTATCTCGCTTTTTGTATTAAATATGTAATAATATTTTTATGACTAAGATTAAAAATAAATAGGGTCACATTAACCTTGAATGGAGGGGTAATTTATATGTTGAGTTCTAAAATAGTACTACTAATATTTTAGTTTTCATACACATTTATATGTCATGTAGACGAATTCAAAGCTAAAATAGTTAGTTGAATTCACGCCGCAATGTAATTTGCCACTTCGAGCATATTTGGAAAGCCATTTAGGAATTTGATTTGGGCGTAAGTAGGTGTAATTGTACAATTTGACATATTTCTTTGGCCAATCAATTACCTAATCAGCATGGAATTGAGTGTAACTACACTCTCCAATTATCAAGGGAGAAGTGAGAATTGGTGGTAATTACAAGATTTCCTTTTAGTTTCTTTCTTTTTTGTTTTTATTTTAATTTATTTTCTCTATAAATATTTATTTCTATTTTCAAAATTTTTAACTTTATTTGAAGTTTTAAAATATATTTTTCTTTGTACATATTTATCTTTTTTCTCTACATTTACTTCTTGTGATTCCATGTAATTACTTATATTTTTTTTATTATTCTATTTTTTGAAACTACACCTCCTGATATTAGAAATAATGAGTCATTAACAAACTTGACATATGATGAATGATGCAATAAAAGTGAAATTTCGTTGTTGAATGTGATTATAAAATTATTATGTTTTCTAATCTTAAGTTGTAGTGGAACTTATTATTATTATGTTGGAATTTGACATATGTTAATATATTCTTTTTTTGGATTTTGAAATTGTGATGATTCTCATGGTTCCAATTTACTTGTTTTAGTAGTATGGGCTCACATTGCATGTTGCTCATTTTTTAGTTAGAATTGATAGATTAGTTTTGTCAAACATTTGAATAATGTTATGACATTA